CAAAATGCAGCGCCACGAAGTCCAGGAGGCTGGCCAGGTTCGGGACGCTCTTGGGATCGAGTTCAACGGAGAGCTAAAGTGTTTCAGGCCTGCGGGGAAGCGATGCTGGAAGATTCGTTTGACTCTGGAGGCTTTCTTGGAGGCGCCCAAGGTAACTGGAAAAGCCCTCGAGGTTCTTCTGGGCCGCTGCACATACCTCGCTATGCTTTAGCGTCCTCTCCTCTCCTGCTTCGCCTCGGTCTACAAGTTCGCTCGGAGGTGCCGACACTCGCGGGCTACATTGTGGCCAACAGCGCGTGAGGAGCTCGAGTCGTTCCTCTACCTCATGCCCCTTATTCGCTCGGACTGGTCGCGCTGCTGGCTTGGGGAAGTGCTAACGTATGACTCCTGTCCTGAGGGTGCTGGGGCTTGTGTTGCTACTAGGTATCCTGCCTGGGCGGCCGCCCAGGGGAGAGTCCAAGAGAGAGCTAGATTTGTTCGTCGAGATGCTGCGCAGGCTCGTGGGCATGCGCTTTCTTGCCTCGACCCTGATGACCCCCTGGTGTTTGTGACGCCGCCGCCGTCTTTCGAGGACGTCTCGGAGCTTTGGGAGCAAGACCTTTCGTTTCCCGAGGTTCCGCTCGAGGGGCTTGTGGGGGAAGACTGGGAGGTGCTTTTCTGCCATTCCTGGAGGAGAAAGATGATTGTACTTGAGGGGGAAGCCAGAGCTGGAGTCCTTGGGATCGCTAATGTTGTTCTGGAACCTGGAGTTCATAGTTGTCGTCTTCTGGCTCTTGGGGATAACCTCGGTGTCACGCTCAGCTTTGCGAGATCCAGGGCCCGTGCTTTTCCTCTGCTGGTCCAGGTTCGGCGGGCGTCGGCGCTGGCGCTGTCGCGAAACCTCTTCGTGGGGTTCAGGTGGATCCCGAGTGAGTTCAACAGCTCCGACAAACCTTCAAGGGACCCTGGTCTGCAGCGTGGGGACACGGTCGAGTTGAGCGTCACTCCTGAGATACACCGTCTCGCTCGAGACCGGCAGGGCCCTGTAGCCGTTTTGGCCAAGGATGAAGTCCCACAATGCTCTACTTCTGTATTTGATTGGGCTCGACATGTCCTTGGTGAGGAAGGCGAAGAGAGCAGCGCCGACGGAGGAGAGGGAAGTTCGCGTGCTTCTTCGGCGGACGGACCCGCTGCCACTAGAGAAGAGGTGGCAGGCTACTTTGCAACAGCGACGCGATCGCCTCCCCATGCCCGTGCTGCTGGAGGAGGCGGAGAGGGACGCCAGCCGTCTGGAAGATTCGGACGGCACGACCTCGGAGGAGGATGGCAACCCGCTCGTGCAGGATCGCGTGCTGAAGCGCAAGACCCACCATGCGAAGATGGCAAAGGAGCCAGGTATGCAACACGTTTCGGTGCTAGAACGAAGCTCGGTAGGTGAGCGAACCTGGGCGCAATATCGAAAGCTATATCGAGGCCTGGTGGACTACGTCGACGAACGCAAGCTGAACACCGACAAGGTGCAGGACTTCGACGTGGCCATCGTCGCCTTCATGACCCACATGTATATGCTGGGCTACGACGCGGGCATCGGCCAGAAGCTGATCGCGGCCGTTGTGTTCTTCCAACCTCGCTTCGGCAAGCTGGGCGACCTTTCTCTTCCGCGAGCCTGGCGGGCTGCCAGGGGCTGGGCCAAGCTGGACCCACCGCGCAGCCGACAGCCCTTGACCCTGCCGACGGTCGCAGGGTTGGCCGCGATGCTCGCCTACGCGGGGCACCTGGATATGGGCATCTGGGTGATCATCGCTTTCTGCACCTACTTGCGCCCAGGCTCTATGATGCAGCTCACCAGGGGCTTTTCTGGTCCCGCCTACCATGAAAGTCGACACGATGTGGCGCGTGCTCGCACACAGGTCAGACCTCCACCAGGTCTCGAAGGTGGGGACCCAGGACGACACCATCTTGTGGGACACTCATGGTTTTGAATGGATGGGCGAAGTTCTTCAGATTCTAGCCGTCGGAGGACGAAATGAGAGCCTGTGGCAGTTTACCTATCCAGAGTTAGTGCGCGAAATCCGCAAGCAAGGCCGGCTGCTCGGCCAAGACATTGTGCCTTGCCAGTTGCGCCATGCGGGCGCTTCCTGGGATATGTATAAAAAGCATCGCAACCTGTGCGAAGTACAACGTCGCGGTGGTTGGATGTCTACCAAAAGTGTGCAGCGCTACGAGAAGTAAGGCATGATGATGAAAGACTACGCTCTGCTTCCCCTGGCGCTGCGCTGCTGGTTGGAGGAGCAGGTGGACGCGCTGAAGGACTCGATCCTTAGAGGCCGCGCGGTGCAGCCGCCGCCGCCGCTGTCGTTCAGTGCCCGTGCAAAGCGTGTAGCTACTCCTCCCAACACAGCAAAGTAGGTGACACATCATGTCATGGGTGATATGGGTGAAGTGTGCGCCGCCGTGCCTCTGCTTACCCGCGCTCGCGTGCAGTCAGACTCCAGACGGCGCTGGCATCAGACACTAGAAAACTGAGAAACAGGGCGCGGGGGGGATCATGTGAGTTGTACGTGAATGATCTATGCGCGCTTGTAATTAGTTTTTCGGCTCCCCGTGGCCTGACCCAAGCCGCTTTCATTCCTTTATAACGGGTGAAGTGCGCGCCGCCGTGCCTCTGCTTACCCACGCTCGTGTGCAGTCAGACTCCAGACGGCGCTGGCATCAGACACTAGAAACCTGAGAAACAGAGCGCGGGGGGGATCATTCTCCTCCTCCTCCTCCTCCTCCTCTCTCCTCATCCCGCCCCTCTTTTTCCTCCCTGGTGGAGCCGCTATGTTTCAAGGGGATTTCGTATCACAGTTTCACTTCAGGCGTGCATCGAAGACTTGCTTTGAGCCTAAAAAATCGTTGACCGGTGTAGCGGTACAAATTTAAGTGCTTCGCCTTGGCCGCCCCGCGGTGCAAATTTAAGTGTTTCGCCTTGCCGCTTTGTTGGTTGTTTCAATGGAGGTGCAGTTGTTCGGTGCCCACATGCAGAGTGTAACCATCCTCGCACCCTGAGGAGCGCTCGCATGCTCGCTGGTTGCCTGTGCTTTTGCTTGCCGTAAAAAAGTAGGTAAGTAAGTAAGCAAGTAAGTAAGTATGTACGTATGTATGTATGTTTGTGTGTATGTATGTATGCATGCATGTATATATGCATATACGTACGTTTGTGTAAATGTATGTGTAGGTGTGTGTATGTGTATGGGTATGTGTATATATGTATGTACGCATGTATGTGTGTACGTGCATATATGTATGTATGTGCATACATGTATGTAGGTATACATGCATGTATATATGTTTGTAGGTATGTGTATACGTATGTATGTATGCATATGTGTATGCATACATGCATGTGTGTTTGTTTGTTTATACGTATATACCTAGGTGGGTGTCTGTATGCATGCGTGTGTGCATGCATGTATGTATGCATATAGGTATGTATCCATACATGTGTGTATAGTTGTTTGGTTGTTCGTTTGTTTGTTTGTATGCATGTATGTATGTGTAATAACAAGGTAAACATGCATGCATGTATGCATGCATGCAGTCATACATGCATATATAATTTGTATGTGTATACATATATATATATATATATATATATGAATGTATGTATGTATGTGTGTATGTAAGTCGCTGTATTGATACAGTGAGTACCTATACACATAGAAAACTGATTCGGCTAGGCCTGCGTCCAGCTGGGGGCCGCTGGGTCCCGAGCGCGCCTGGAGGGCCCAAGACGGCGAGCGCGCCTGGAGGGCCCAAGACTGCTCCCGATGGTTTCCAGAGGGCCCTAAGTTGGGCCAGGAGGGTTACCAGACGGTCCCAGAGTGCCCCCATTGCGCCCCAAGACACCCCAAGAGGCCTCCCAAGGGAGCCCAAAGAGGCCAGAATCGCCAAATTCCCATCGTAAAAAGTACGTTTCAGCATCAACAACTTCTCGCCTTCCCGACGCTCCAAGACGGCCCAAGACACTCCCCCGATCGCCCCAAGACGGCCCCAGAGGCATTGACGAGGCCCCCACGACGGCCCAAGAGGGCCCCAAGACGGCCCGAGAGGCGATAGGCCCCAAAACGGTTCCCGAGAGGCACCAAGGACCCCCATAGAGGCCTCCAACAGGCCCCAGCCCCCCAAGAGGTCCCCAAAAGACACCAAGAGACACCCCAAGGCAGCCCAAATGCCTCGGAAGGGAGCCCCAAGAGGCCAACATTGTCATATTCCGTACGTTAGACGTAGATGTTCAGCGTCAACACCTTCTCGCCATCCCGACGGCCCAAGACGCCCCCCAGATCGCCCCAAGACGGCCCCAGAGGCATTCAAGAGGCCCCCACGACGGCCCAAGAGGGCCCCAAGGCGGCCCGAGAGGCGCCCAAGACGGCCCAAGTAGGCCCCAAAACGGCTCCCGAGAGGCACCAAGGACCCCCACAGAGACCTCCAACAGGCCCCAGCTCCCCAAGAGGCTCAACAAAATTTCCAGAGACGCCAAATCAGCCCCCAAGAGGGGTCAAGACATCTTCTGGAAAGCACCCTGCAAGCCTCTTGGGCCCCCTGGATTAGTACGGCGACGATCAGAGAATTAGTGTGTATATATATATATATATATAGAGAGAGAGAGAGAGAGAACAAAGAATGTGTGTATATATATATATATATATAAACAGAGAGAGAGAGAGAGAGAGAGAGAGAGAGAGAGAGAGAGAGAGAGAGAGAATAGAGAGAGAGAGAGAAAGAGAGAGAGAGACAGAGAGAGAGACAGAGAGAGAGAGAGAAGAAGAGAAAGAGAAAGAGAAAGAAAGAGAGAGAGAGAGAGAGAGGGATATATGCTTCCCTGGCCCAGCCAGGAGGGCATATGCACCGCTCCTGGGCCCAGGATGGGCGCGGCCAGGGGGCAGTGGCTATGTATAGCACTCGCCGCCCTGCCCTACAGGAGTCTCACCAGAGGCCACTCTTGCCGCAGAGGCCACTCCTGCGTGCCAGCCGCCAAGGTGTGGAGGCGGGTGGCCCTCCTGGAGCAGCAGGGGCTGCTGCCGCACCGCCGCAGCTGGCGGCTGCGGATGTCGCTGCAGGCAGCGCCGCCGCACCTGGCGATCGCCGAGCTCGCCCGCTTCGAGCACACGGCCCGCGCCGCCGCCTCGTGTGGCGCGCCCCTGGAGGACCCCTCGGTCGTCGAAGAACAAGCGGCGGCATAAACATAAACCTTGGGAGCTCTGCGCGGAGTTCTTGGATCTGCGCTGGGCCCTGCTGGCGGCGCCTCCGCGCGCCGGGGAGGGGCCCAGCGGTGATCCAAGAAACCCACGTGGAGCTCCGAAAGCCGACGCACGTGCCGTTTTTTTTGTGCCTCCAGGTCGACCTCGCGGAGCTGCTCGACTCGCTGGCGCAGAGCGCTCCCCGCGAGGAGCGAGCGCGCCACACCGAGCGCGCAGTCCTCGAGGCCCTCGCCGCCCGCAGCGGGCGCGGCGTGCGGGCGGCGGACCACCGCGCGCTCGGCCGCTTGCCCTGCTCCAGGGCGCTGCGGCTGCTCGAGGAGCTGGAGGGCGGCCCGCTGGAGGGCCGGATCCCCGCCGCCGTCGAGGTCGATGAAGAAAAAACGGCACACGCATTACCTTGTGGCGCTCCGCACGGATGGTTTGGACCGGCGGTGGGCCCCCCTGGCGGCGCCTCCGGCGCCGCCTCTGGCGCGCTCCGCGCGGCGGGGGGGGGGTCCAGCGCAGATCCAAGAAATCCACGCAGACCTCCAAAAATTGATGTCTTGGTGCGAGCTCAATGGGTCACCCCTGCGTGTGGCCGAGAGGAGCACCTGGCCGCCCTCGAGGCGCTGGACGACTGGGAGGCACAGGGGGGCGGCGCGCCGCGGCAGAGGGCGGAGGACGGAGGGGCGTCCTCCGAGGCCGCGGAGGCGGAGGAGGAGGAGGGAGAGTCGCATGGCTGGCGCTCGGGGCAGCCGGACGCCCCAGCTGCCGAGGGCCCCCAGCAGCCGTGCATGCCGCCCCCTCAGAGACTGCTGCGGGAGAGGGGCGGCGGCCGGGGTTGGCAGCAGGGCGGCCGCCAGCCGTGGAAGCAGCAGCGCCGAGGCTGAAGAGCGGCCGGCGCCGCAGCTGCTCGTCGTTGCTGTCACCACGTTCACCACCGCTGCGACGTCGTCGCCGTCGCTCGTGCCGTTAGCACCGCTGCAAAGCTAGGCTATGCCTCCGCTTCTCGTCTTGTCTGCCGTCGCCGGCGTTATCGCTGCTGGAGTCAGCCGAATCAGCTGTCGCTAGATTATGCTAGCTTCTCCAGCGCCAACGTCGTGAAGTGATCTGGTCCTTGATCTGCTAACCGCATGTGACGGAGGAGGAGGAGGAGGAGGAGGGAAAAAGAGGGATGACGGGAGAAGGGACAACGTATGAGTGGTGATGATGATGATGATGATGATGACGATGACGATGGTGATGGTGATGTTCATGATAATGATGATGATGATGATGATGATGATGATGATGATGATGATGATGATGATGATTATGATTATGATTATGATGATGATGATGATTATGATGATGATTATGATGATGCGGATGATACTGATGATGAGTATGATGTTGATGGTGATGATGATGACGGTGATGATGATGCTGCTGATGATGTTAACGGTGAAGATGACGATGACGATGACGATGATGCTGCCGATGACGATGACGGTGCTGATAATGCTGATGATGACGATGATAATAATGATGCGGATGATGATGGCGATGATGATGATGAGGAGGAGGAGGAGGAGGAGGACGGTGCTGATATTGATGATGGTGTGGACGAGGAATACATTCATGCTGATGATGATGCTGATGACAATGACGCTACCGATGACAATGATGATGCTGTTGCTGATGATGACGATGATGATAATGCTGATGCTGATGATGATAATGGTAGTGATGATGATGATGATGATGATGATGATGATGATGATGATGATAATGATGATGATGGTGACTCTGATGATAAATGATGATGCTGATGATGATTATGATGGTGATTATGATGCTGCTAATGCTGATGCTGCTGATGATGGTGATGGTGATGCTGATGATGATGAAAAGATGCTGCTGCTGATGATGATGATGATGATGATGATGATGATGATGATGATGATGCTGATGCTGATGCTGATGCTGATGCTGATGCTGATGTCGACGACGACGATGATGATGAGGAGGAGGAGGAGGAGAAGGAGGAGGAGGAGGAGAAGGAGGAGGAGGAGGAGAAGGAGGAGGAGGAGGAGGAGGAGGGGGACTGGTGTGATGGATCGAGTTGAGAAGAGGGAGACTCGAGGAGGAGAAGGAGAGAAGGACGGATGAAGGAGGGGGAGGAGGAAGGATGAAGGAAACGCAACGAAAGAAGAACGGCATGGGGAAAAGGGGGAAAGAAAAAACGGACGGTGAGTAGGAGGGAATTGGGATGGGAAGGAGGAATAGGGAGGGAGGAGAGAGGACTGAGGAGGGTGGAGGGAGGAGGGAGGAGGGAGGGAGGAGGAGGAAGACAAGGATGAAGAGAAGGAGGAGGAGGAGGAGGAGGAGGAGGTCGAGCAGGATGAAGAGGACGAGAAGGAGGAGGAGGTCGAGGTTGAGGAGGACGAGGAGAAGGAAGGGGAGGCTGAGGATGAGAGAGGAGGAGCAGACTGATGATGGTGGTGGTGATGATGCTGATGATGATGATGACGATGCTGCTGATGATGGTGACGATGATGGTGATGATGGGTGATGGCGATGGCGATGATGATGAAGATTATGATGATTATGATGATGCTGATGATGATGCTGATGATGATAATGGTCATGGTGGTGGTGATGATAATGATGATGTTGAAATTGTTGTTGATGGTGATGATGATGATGGTGACGGTGACGATGACGATGACGATTTTGATGATGATGCTGCTGATGATGACGATGTCGATGCTGTTGTTGCTGATGGTGATGATGCTGATGTTCATGATGATGTTGATGATGATGATGATGATGACGATGGCGATGGCAATGATGATGGTGACGGTGATGATGACGATGGTTTTGATGATGATTCTGATGAGGCTGATGATGCTGATGATGATGGTTATGGTGGTGATGATGATGGTGATGATGGTAATGATGAGTATGAAAACGATGGTGATCCTGCTGATGATGAGGAGGAGGATGAGGATGAGGATGAGGGTGATGATGATGATGATGATGATGATGATGATGATGGTGATGATCATGATGGTGGTGGTGATGACAATGACGCTGTTGATGAGAATGACGCTGATGGTGACTATGATCATGATGGTGACGATGGTGATGAGGAGGAGGAGGAGGATGGTGGTGGTGGTGGGGATGATGATAATGATGATGATAAAGATGATGATGATAAAGATGATGATGATGATGATGATGCTGATGATGATGAGGAGGAGGAGGAGGAGGAGGATGAGGATGAGGATGAGGATGAGGATGAGGATGAGGATGAGGATGATGATGCTGCTGCTGCTGCTGATGATGATGAGGAGGAGGAGGAGGAGGAGGAGGAGGAGGAGGAGGAGGAGGACGACGAGTAGGAGAACGAGGAGGAGGAGGAGGAGGAAAGGAGCAGGAAGAAGCAAAGGAGGGGCTGCCTGCCGCCGCCCGTCCTCGCCCGCCGCGCCCGCCGCGCCCTGCTCGCGAGAGCCGCAGCCACCCGCGGCCGCTGAGCTCTTCTGGGCGCGGGGGCCGGCCCGGGCGCGCGCAGGCGGCGCGGCGGTGAGGCGGCCCGTCGCTGGGCGCAGCGGGCGGGGGAGCCGAGAGGAGGGGCGCTTCCCGAGGTCCTGGTCCGGCGGCGGGTCCTCCCCCGAGGTCTCGGGCGGCGCGCGCTGGGGGGGGCAGCGAGGGCTGTAGAAAAGGGGCCCTGCAGGGCCCCTAAAAGGGCCCCTCTATGGGCTCCAATGGGGCATCGAGGGCCAGGGAATAGCACACTTTTCTCCCCCCCGCTCCATTCATTGCCCCCCCCCATCAAGCGACGCCCACCAGGTCCTGGTCCCCCTCATCAATCTGCACCTTCTCCCATGTTCCCCCCTCCTCCTCCCCTCCCCCTTCCTCGTGCTGCTGCTCCACCTCCTCCGCGCTCCTCCGCAGGGACTGCCCCGGAGCGCACGAGGGCCCCTGGGGTCCCTCGAACGCTCCGTGGGCTCCCGAGAGATCCTGTGCAAGCAGTTGAAGGCCGTCCAAAGGGATTGCCCGTTCATTCGAGCTGCCGCCGAGTGGTCGTCTGACTGTCGAAGCGCCGACTCGGCATGGACCTCTGGTCCTCCCTGGGCCCCTTCCTCGTGCTGCCGCTGTTTCTCCAGCTCATCCCTTCCCTGCTCCTCCCCCACCTCCTCCTGTCCCTCCTTCCTCTCCTCTGGTGTCCTCCTCCAGACGGCCCGAGAGGACGTCAGGACACATTCGCCGTCCACCGGACACATCGCACCACCACATGCGCAGAGGGATGAGGTCTTATTTCTTTTTCCCAACCCTCCTATGGTTGGGTACTCGTTTTGAATAGAGCAGTGTGGTCGCCCCATCCTTCTCCTCCTCCCCCCTCCTCCCCTCCTCTCCTGTCTCCTGTGTTCCCCTTTCCTCTTCTCTCGTGCCGTCGGGCTGCGATCTGCGAAACTGTCGCCACTTTCGTGGGCTCCTGGGAGGCCCAGCGGAGGTACGTCCCACGCGGACCACCTCGAGACCTCGCGGCGCCCTGGGGGGCTGCGATCTGCGCAACTTTCGCCACTTTCGTGGGCTCCTGGGAGGCCCAGCGGAGGTACGTCCAACGCGGACCACCTCGAGACCTCGCGGCGCATTGGGGGGGCTGCGATCTGCGAAACTATCGCCACTTTCGCGGGCTCCTGGGAGGCCCAGCGGAGGTACGTCCCACGCGGACCACTTCGAGACCTCGCGGCGCCCTGGGGGGCTGCGATCTGCGCAACTGTCGCCACTTTCGTGGGCTCCTGGGAGGCCCAGCGGAGGTACGTCCAACGCGGACCACCACGAGACCTCGCGGCGTCTTGGGGGACTGCGATCTGCGAAATTGACCCCACTTGCATGGGCTCCTGGGAGGCCCAGCGGAGGTACGTCCCACGCGGACCACCTCGAGACCTCGCGGCGCCCTGGGGGGCTGCGATCTGCGAAACTGTCGCCACGTTCGTGGGCTCCTGGGAGGCCCAGCGGAGGTACGTCCAACGCGGACCACCTCGAGACCTCGCGGCGCCCTGGAGGGCTGCGATCTGCGCAACTTTCGCCACGTTCGTGGGCTCCTGGGAGGCCCAGCGGAGGTACGTCCAACGCGGACCACCTCGAGACCTCGCGGCGCCCTGGAGGGCTGCGATCTGCGCAACTTTCGCCACGTTCGTGGGCTCCTGGGAGGCCCAGCGGAGGTACGTCCAACGCGGACCACCTCGAGACCTCGCGGCGCCCTGGAGGGCTGCGATCTGCGCAACTTTCGCCACGTTCGTGGGCTCCTGGGAGGCCCAGCGGAGGTACGTCCAACGCGGACCACCTCGAGACCTCGCGGCGCCCTGGAGGGCTGCGATCTGCGCAACTTTCGCCACGTTCGTGGGCTCCTGGGAGGCCCAGCGGAGGTACGTCCAACGCGGACCACCTCGAGACCTCGCGGCGGCCTGGGGGGCTGCGATCTGCGCAATTGTCGCGGACTTGCGTTGGCTCCTGGGAGGCCAGCGGAGGCACGTCCCAGACGGACCATCTCGAGAACTCGCGGCGCCTTGGGGGGCTGCGATCTGCGCAACTGTCGCCGCTTTCGTGGGCTCCTGGGAGGCCCAGCGGAGGTACGTCCCACGCGGACCACTTCGAGACCTCGAGGCGACCTGGGAAGCTGCAACTGCGCAACTGTCGCGGACTTTCGTTGGCTCCTGGGAGGCCCAGCGGAGGTACGTCCCACGCGGACCACCTCGAGACCTCGCGGCGCCTTGGGAGGCTGCGATCTGCGCAACTGTCGCCGCTTTCGTGGGCTCCTGGGAGGCCCAGCGGAAGTACGTCCCACGCTGACCACCTCGAGACCTCGCGGCGCATTGGGGGGGCAGCGATCTGCGAAACTGTCGCCACGTTCGTGGGCTCTTGGGAGGCCCAGCGGAAGTACGTCCCACGCGAACCATCTCGAGACCTCGCGGCGCCCTGGGGGGCTGCGATCTGCGAAACTGTCGCCGCTTTCGTGGGCTCCTGGGAGGCCCAGCGGAGGTACGTCAACGCGGACCACCTCGAGACCTCGCGGTGCCCTGGGGGGCTGCGATCTGCGCACCTGTCGCCGCTTTCGTGGGTTCCTGGGAGGCCCAGCGGAAGTGCGTCTCACGCG